ATTATAACTAACTGGGTTCTAACTGGTAACTAACTGTGACTGACACCATTTTAAACTGATTATTTTCCTCCATCAACTGTATAACTTTATTTCACTATTTTAACTATGATGTAAAATATTTTTTTATTTTGTACAGCTAATTTGCCCCGATTAATTGCATAGTTTTTTCGATTTCTCTTACACTTTGAACGAACGACGAAAACAACGAATATTGGAACAATACCTTGCAGTTAACGATTTAATAACATGTCATTCGAAAGTTTAAAATAAACTGGAAAGCACTCTTTTTGTCCACAGAAAATTACGGATTGTCAGTAACAAAATATTAACTTGTGGCCAAAAATTTTGCGTGATTGGACAATCAAACAATAAATAAAATAGGTCTTCAATCGCATTTTCACAAAATCCACAAAGATTTGAATTTACCAAGTTATTTAGCACAGTGGTTTTCAGAAAAAAATTCTCTGGAAGGATTTTAGTCTAGTGTCAATAGTTGAATTATAACTGTTTAAAAAATATGACAGCCAAATAAAGTCATTGAGTACAATTAGTTTCTTTCAAACTGCTGTTGTTTTTCTGGGAAAATGAATTTCTTTTCAATACTACATCGCATAATCTACACGTATTTTCAGACAATGTACCAGATAAAAATTAATCAAAATCAAACATGTTTATATTGTAAACAATTGAAATCAATGAATTCTCAATATATTCCTTTCAACATTCTGGTATGCAATTAATCCCTATACTCATTTGCATTATATATATTCTATATCGAAGTGTCCTGTGTGTTGAAAATAACAGAATTACTGTTTACCAAATGATGAAATGCACAAATTTCGTGTTCCAAACTCTCATAAAAATAATTTTAACAATTCAACTGGATTTATGAATTTAAATTTTCGGAAATTACTATTACGGCTGACTCGAAACAACTATATGAACTTAACTTACCGTCTTCGTTGCAACAAGTACAAAACATTATCCAAATTTGCCGAAAGATAACTTCAACAAGTCCAGGAAAAGAGTTTTTTCCAAAAACTTGATCCCTATACTTCAAACCTACATAATTATATAGCGCTACTTGTGGCAAAAAATTCCTGGACACGTGCATGTCTCTTCCCAGCAAGAAAAGAAGAAACATGTGTGTGAGTATCAAGTACAAAGCAATGGAAATGGAAGCTGATAGTGGAAATGATGAAGACATTATTTGGTTAAAACTAAACCTCCTAGAAACCTAGACCGAATTAAAAAAAAGATTATCAAATACGATTGGCTTACAAATGGAGTCAGAATTGCAAACTATATCTCATCGACGAAATGTTGCGTCGTTTTGCTTATTTGAGATATTACAGATACTGCAATGTGTCAAACTCGGGTGGCGGTGAACCCTCACCCATTTACAGTCAATGTACGAGGCGGTGTGGCTCATCGTGCTAGCTTTAGGAATACGCTCGCCACCGCACCTCTGCGTGGGTTCGCAGATTCGAATCCTATGCGGGGATGGTTATGTGTTATTCGTAATAACCACTCGAGATGCTACTATGACAATCGCAGAATCAACAGCAGTACTTTCCTAAGTTGGGACAAGGGCATTGTTTTGTCCCGCACGCCTTGCATGTACTTGAGATGGATATGTATTCAGGAATCGGATTGCTGCCTCTCAAAAGATCTTCATCGAGTTCAACGTAAACTCTCTTGGGTTAAGAGTAACCTGAGATGACGTTAGGACACCATTTCATGCGTTGCAATATGAGCTCTGCTGATGAGCATTCTAATTGCGTGACTTGTTGGGGGTAGGGTTTCCAACGATGCTTGCTTTGAATGATGATATTTGTAGCTATGGAGCTTGACATTGTTTCCAAGCTGGTTGCTTTCTTTAAAACTTGGGTTAAATTGGCTTCTTCCCTATCTATCACTTTATCAAGAACATTTCTCAGCACGTGAAAATCTCTTAAATATGTCTCTGTATCAGCAGACATGGCTGCATGGTTTGTCCCAATCTTGCTGGTATAATCGCAGCCGGATAATGCATGAAGGAAGCATAGAAGAAAAATATCACATATACAATTTTTCTGGCAAGAATGTGAACGGGAATAAACCTTGTTGAACTGAATGGCTCACAATGGTATGCAACGAAGATTAAAACCAAATCTTTTCAATGGCCCCTATGTAAATCTGACATCCAAGCATGAATTTGTTGTCACTACTCACTAGACGCCCAGAACTTGTCGATTTCACGTGGTAGCGGTAACTGTATAACATAAAGTTATATGGGTGCCACAGTCGCTCTTCTTTGGCGCTCAGAATCTTTCAACGATCTCTCCATGTACGAGTCAAATACAAAGGCAATTCTTCAGCACCCTTCGTTGAGGAGGCGATAAAACTCAAAAATGCATTTGAGAAATGTTTAAATCTTGTGGAATTGTTAGATGGAATTTTGCAAACGTTCGCCACAACGTCGGTGATATAGCAAACATCACTTGAAACATCAAACGCCCGATTACTTGGGTCACCTGGGGCCGAATACCGTACCAGTTGGCGGACGATAGAACTTTTTATTGGTTTAGTCATAAACCCCTTCAAACAGAGGAGACTTTGTACACATATCATATATATACTGAAGTAGCTCGTCTATAGTAATACCTCTCTCATGTGCGATTTCAAGCTTCGTCTCATGTGAGCTGTGAGCATCTTCTTTCTTAATTGCCAATTTTGCCTTCAATTTCTGCACACCTTTTTCGGAGCGAATTGAAGTAAATGTAATGGAAGTAAAATAGTACGATGAATGGCGTCAGAAAGTCGAAACGTTTCATTCATGAAAATCTTGCAGTTCGAAGTTTCTTGTATGTCTCATCAGTAAGCGTCACATTGAGCAGTTATTCTCTGGCGTCGATGGGCATAACTTCGTTACTGCGGATGTTTAGGGGGCATTTCAAAAGAAATTTCGTTTTTCTGGACGACATTCAGGATTGATTGAATGGGGGGGGGGGGGGGGGGTGAATGTACCCGTTTACGTCCATTTTCAGTTCCTACCGTTTTCTCAGTAGAAGTCTCTTGGAAGATTGTACATTTTGAATCATCTACTACGACGGGCCTGGTCAACAACTCCCATCGACAGATGCACGAGGTTCCTGCTGGTCGGCATGTTTTTTTAAACTGCAGTCGGGAAACAGTTGCCAGAAAAATGTGCAAAGTTAAATTGAATTGTGTTGGAAATGGGTAAGAAAAACGATAAAGAAGAATCAATGTAAGTTTTTCGCTACCTCCTCTAGCATAGTAAATGTACCAGATATGTCTAACAGTCGCGAAATATATATAAACGCAGGGAATTTCCTCTACTGGCCGTAGCCATTGCCCAGCCTACACGGGACAGCTGCCAAAAACACAACAATAGGTGTGCGCCATTGTGGTTGTGAACTTTTTCCCTTTTTGACTAGATGAGTTGAGAGTGAGGTAAGGAGGTAATTTTGGTATCTATCAAAGAGGTACTACGATTTCCTCCCAGGTTTTTGTGACCTTTTGACCCCTGGTGACCACAGTTGAACTCGTATTACCCTAATAAATAATTAGGAAGAAATAGAATGCCAAGGCTAATAATTTGTGCGGTGTACAAGATTGTTAGGAAGAAAATCTACGAATATATTGGACAGGAGATTCAATTTTTCCTTCTTATAATTTATTGGTCGAAATGTATGGGCGGTTACACAAGATATAAATTCAAATTTCTCGCTAATTGCCGGGTATCAGGAGTGTTAACCAAGGTTTTCTTATAAGGGAAGTGACCTCCTTCAAAACTCAAGCTCTAAATTTCGGGTACAAACTTTGCACACGAGATCGTATATGATTTTTCATTTGCCTGATTGATACAATTTCACAGCAAAACCTATAGCAAGGGTTTTCAGCCGGTGCCCCAAGGTGTATTGAAAAGCATGGCGTACATAAAGCAGAACCGTGATATTGAAAATTGCAATCACGGTAGTCAATGAGACAAATATGAAAAGTCAGTTTAAGTTAGGATTAAGTGTAAGTTAGCTGAACATTTCGACTCAAATAGTAAATATGCAAATTGGTTCAGAGAGTTCGCCGCCATCTTGTTTCTTTAGCCCGCCAAATATGAGGTGAACTCCTCAATTTTATTTGTTTTTACTGTGCAATTCTGACATATGACTCTTATCTTTTTGGTGAGTTGTTGATTAAACATGTTTCCTATTGTATGTGAACGCTCAGCAAACTGTTTAGGTGATGGATTTTATAATTTCAGTAATTTATGTGCCTGGAGAACCCACCAGAATAAGTAAGTCAAATACAATTACATATCGTCTAAGTATTCGAGATTCAATTTGAAAAAATATTCGATTCTGAAATCATCAAGTTTTCGGAAATGCAGCGGAACATTACAAAAATTGGCATGTGGCCAAGTAATTGCATAGGACGGACGAATCAAAAATGGTAATTTTTTTCATTTGAATGCACACGTGCAGGATGAATTAGGCTTCAACGTCTGGTACTGAAATATCCTCACCAATTCGAATTGTAAACATTTGTTTGTTTCAGCCTTCATTCTGATTTCAATGTAGCGATTAGGTTTTTGACAAATATAATTTACGGTCTGTTAACCAGACCCAGTATAAGTTTGTAGGAAAATTCGCCGCAGGGAATTTCGTCGCATAGGAAAATTCATCGCCGCATGAAAAATCGCCTTATTTAAAAAGGATTCGTTATTTAAGAGCATCACCCTATAAACCTAACTGTTTTTTTCACAAATACTTGTTTTACAGCAAAATGCTCTTGCGATTCTCCCTACGGGGCAAAATTTCCTGCGGTGAATTTTCTGGACACGCCTCAGCAATACTTGAAGCACGGAGTAACGAAAAATTTCTCTTTACAGGCATTTACAATACGCATCTATATTTTTATGGAAGTATTTGTAGGCGAAATTAACCCGATTAACAATGCGCTTCATAACACATCTAACAATTGAAAATTATTAAAACAAGCGACTTTTTGATAACGTTTATTGAAATTTCTGAATAATACTCATTCTCATTGCCAGTCGAATGTTTCCCCAATTAATGAATATAATTTTTCGTTACTCTTGGCGAAAAATTTGCGAAGTATTTCAGGTGCCCACTCATGATTTTGGAGTCTCGACCTTCCTTTATTATTCTTTGAAAAACACAGGAACTCTTTGTTGTATAGTTGATGGATACAGTAGAATCCTGTAGATTGTTGTTTAAAATCGTTTTCATTGATTATTTTAGGAATGCCTAAAAATTGTTGTACTTTGTCAAGAGTCTTCCATGGTGTTCGAAGAAATGTCTCGCCGTTTAAAATAAGAAAGTTTTCGTTCAATTTCCATGTTTTGAGCCAGTATTTGACATAATAATAATACATTCCACTCGAAACGATGTGACTCAATTGAAAATTAGCTTCTCCAGATAATACATAGTTTTCAAACACTTTCTCATGAAACGTCGCATACTTCTCGAAGTTCTCGTACAACTTCTCGATTTCCCTTCCAACAAACGTATCGAAATTCGCTGCTTCGTTGATATCTCCAATATTTTTCTGGAAAGGAAATATATGATCACATCATTATATCTAGCAGTGTCTAAAGATTTTTTCTAACAACGTTTCGAAAGTGATGTTATTTTGACAAAATGTTTTTCACCTAATTCCGATATAGTATTACTTCCTAGCAAATTTACTATTTTTCCTAGACGTCATGACTTACATAAAATTACACAGAGTAAATTGCAAGACATGATTCTAATGTGGGATATCAAACTATTTGGATATCTCTCACTGGATATCTTCATTTTTGTCCCATATAAAAAGCAAACAGCAAACAAATTTATAATCTTATATATAATTATTATAATAAATCATATGCACAAAGAGAAGTTGTAATATTTCATTAACTTCAACTATAGTTCGGCTATTGTTTCAGGTTGGCTCTCCACGCTGAAGTTTAATGATGCGGCCATAACCAGTACCAGGTTAGGCCATAATTTTATTCCAATTTCCTTATTTTAGTTTTATTATGAGTTCGGGGACTAGCCAAGTGACTCTCGTAGTATTTGTACATGAAATTATTGCCTAACCCTAACCTGGTACACAACTACGTTCCGATGTCCGCCATCTTGGTCCACATACTTCGGGAGTATCGAAAATAGTATAATACTTTTTTAGTACGAGGCAAAATTATACCCCTAAGTATAAATCTGATTACAACTCACTAAGATTTTAACCGGAAAATTAAAAGTTTACATACGTGCTGTAAAAAATCCGAGTATGTTCTATTGACTGGATCGCATAGAAGTAAAATGATTTTTGCATCCGGAATCGTTCTATGTATTCTTTCAGATGTTCCGAGGGCCTTTAAATATGCGGGAGTCTTTTCAATAACAATTTCGTAATCTTTAGCAGCCGGTAATGATTTTCTGTAATAAAAGAATGTACATCGTCATGTACATTTACATATGCATATATTGCAACTGGTCGACCAGATACCAATGAAATATTCTTGCCGTCGCTAGCGGAGATGCGTTTTACTTATTTACAGCTTAAAATTAACTTTCAATATTGAGAGCATGACCGACTGATTTCTTGTGAAAAAAATGGACTCTTCTGACTATGGATCATACATACATTATATATTTGACTAACGCAGCTTGGATTTTTTAGGTTTCTATCGCAAAAAGAAACGTCAGAAAGGCACAGCTATATACTTTTATTATACTATTGTCAATCACTAACCAACTAATTCAACAATATATAAAATAAAACATAGAAGTTGATAATTATATAAAATATAAATTTTACATGTATTTCTCCATGCTATCTTGATAATGCTCGTTGTTGAAAAAAAATCTTTCCAAATTTATTGGTGCTTTTATCAACGGATGTTGAGCGAGAAACCGAGTCAATGCCCCAGTTCCACATTTTTCAGCCCCAATGATAATTGCATTGGGAAGTCTTTGTATGCTAGTCTGATTTAAAAATAAAGTTAGGAAATTGATAATAAATAAAAAGAGAATTTAAAAAATTCGATAAACAATTCCTTCTTATTAAGACATTCAAATGTTTTCAGCAGCTTTACATCTCGCGAATTGGCAAAAATGCAAAAACTTTCCACACACAGGCAGCGTATATATATTTGAAACAAGTAAAGCAGTTTCTTTCGCAAACTCTTAATCTTGGCGTACCTGTGCTTGCGATCTTTGAACTCCTCTGTTAAGTTAGCACTTTATTTCATACAAATAGTCAACTTCTAAATGGATGGCTATGAATACGCTGCATCGAAATGAATGGAACTTTGGGTATATATTTCATATTTGCAAAATCGTTGCCGCCAAGGACATTTGGCCGTTTTGCCGGATATCTTATAAATATTATAACGTAATGCCCTATTAGACGTAGATCGACGTTTACTTATGGGTAAATTTACCGCTATAGATAGGGTTACCATATTATTGTGACTTCAAATCGGGACGCCTCGAAAGACAACGACCCCATACCTATGATTTTATAACTTCACATTTTCCGATTTTACTACATAGGCCTACATTCCTACATTTAAAGCCCGGCTGTCTTTATTGACCATATTGTTATCGAAATTTCATGCGCATATTCTCTGTCCAAATATAGGGTTCAGTTCGAAAAATAGGAAGGAATTGACGTTAACAATACCGGTACAAATTATTCGAATTTTGACTAATTAGTATTGGTTTTACACGCGATACGTCTGCCATCAATGGGAATCACTGGGAAACGAACGCATTCACCTTCAGTAAGTAGGCTAGCGCTGCGCTACACAAAACAACAGTAACGAGAACATGTTTGTGTATTATGCTGGAAAAGTGGGACTTTTGGCTGACTTATCGGGACGGCGGGACAAAACGCTGGAAAGCGGGACTGTCCCGCCTAAAGCGGGACGTATGGTAACCCTAGCTATAGGTGAATTTTTTAATACCTAACTCGAGGCTGTTTGCCTCAAGTAAATATTGTAGAAAGCGACTTGCTTGTTCGTGATTCTTTCGAGTTTAGATTTCATTATTACCATTGGAGTGATATTGAAAATAAATAATATTACGTTGATATTATCGCAGCACATCTCAAATCAATGATTAGATTGATTGATTGATTGAGCGTTTGACTTAGTCAAAACGTAACGGAATAGATCATGGAGGGTATGACATGACAAACATGTGTTTATTGATGGAAAAAACTTTGCCTCAAGCGTGAAGTTAGTGTTCCAGACTAGAGTGTACGATTAATAAAAAGCATTTTATTAAAGACTGCAAAGAAGATATACTATTTAGTCCTCGTGCTACAGGTATGCGACTTTGATGACAAGCATAATCTACTAGACAGAAAATGATTTGTTATGAATTATGATAAACTCGTTCTGACCTAATTCATAGAATCCGAGTTGAACCCGATTTACAACCAATAGTAATATTTTGCCATGATTATCGAATCGTCACGCTAATAACCGAATTGCGTAAGTCATTTTTAGCAGTTTTGAGAAAAACGCAAAAAGTGGAGGATTTCTTGAAGCAACTAAGGAAGTATTTGAAGAAGTAAAGGATATCTTTTGCAAGATATGAATCTCATACTCATGAGATCATGCAAACTGAAAAAGTTTTGGTTCAAAGTGCAGCGTTGGGTGCTCCCGAAGTATGTGAAACCAAGATGGCGGACACCGGAACGTAGTTTGTGTATCAGGCTATGGGTTTGGCCATAATTTTATTTCAATTTTCCTTATTTAGTTCTATTACGAGTTCGGGGAATAGCCAAGTGACTCCCGTAGTATTTGTACCTGAAATTATGGCCTAACCCTAACCTGGTACACATAACTCGGGAGCACCCAACGCTGCACTTTGAACCAAAACCTCTTTTTCTAGATCAGGACCAAGATTCCGGATCGGTCTATTATTAGAAACAGTAACTCCAAAAAAGCAGCAGATAAGGTAAAAAAAAACGACCCCCGTTCCAGCGGTTTTGTTAATAGGTTGAAATTTCAATACCGAAAGTTTTTTACCAAGAGGGCAATGTAAGCTTGAACTATTTCAGGTCTAGTGTTTATCGCATTACACTGGAGTTCATTTCTTAAGGATAAACCCGTGTATAGCTCCTACAGCGTCATGAGTCGCATGCAACACCTTGTTTAGTAGTCCACTCTTTCCAATTATTGATAATGGCAAACTTGTACAAAATAATGAAAATTTGCATTACCTGAGTCAGATTTGCTCCTACACTTTCCAAATAGTCATCCAATATCTTCAGTCTATTTCTGCGTGCTGTCAAGGTAAAAAAAAAACTGTCAAGTATTCTACCGCTGATAATATGATATTTAATATGATTCCCTCCTTTTTCAATATATACATATGCATTCTGAAGAATACAGTATTGAAATATTTCAATACTAAATCAATTCATAAATTTTCAAACAGACTTTTAAGAAGTTAAATTTTATCACCTTCGTAATGCCCTTTCAAGAACTGAATAGTTGTTAATGCAGAGACTATCACAAACAGTCCAACCAAGTATATTCTCTTACGACGAGTCATGTTCTGTCTTACGATTTTCAACCGCAGCATATCGTTATCATGATAAGATATCCCGTACATTCTAAAATATTGATAATTTTTAAACACGACTATGGTTTGCGTATATTGCCGCAGGCTATTGTTTTGCGCAGACGGTGCTCCCGCAGTATAAGCGCCAAGATGGCGCACAACTGAACATAGTATGTGTATTGTGTACCAGACTTGGATCAATTGTAACTTGTAATTGATGTAATTAATTACAGTTTTTCATGTAATTGTAATGTAATTGAGGCATTTTCATTCTGTGTAATTGTAAATGTAATTGTAATTTGCTGAAATTTTGGCTCAAATACACTTTCAATTAGACCAGGGGTCACCAAACTACGGCGCCCTTTCATCTGGCCCGCAATAACACGAAAAAGGGCGGAATATTTTCCCAAGGAGCGTTTTCCATGAACCGTCTTCTTTTTTTATTTCGTAACATTAGCCAATCAGCAAGATGCGAAAAAGTGACGTAACAATATGCCTTTTCGCATCCGTTAATGTTTTGAGGGTAGCGGTAGCGTCAAGGGTAAAAACTGCTTCGCTCTGTGTAATGTGTCCATATATTTGAGCATTGCTTTGTTGTAATTGGACACGTTTAGTGGACATAACGATCGTTTTGTTTTTATGTTGTTCTTGTTGTTATTTGACACTTTTTTGACACCTAGTGGAAATAATAAAAAAACGCTTTTCTCTTTGATCACTGGACCAATTGCTTTGAAATTTTTAGTGGTTAAAGATGAAATTTTGCTCCAGAAGGCTATTACTATTTATTTCAAATATTTCTGTTAGCTCTGTAAGATTTGTTTTTGTTTGCTATGACGTCACCGAACGTTCTGCGGACATTGGACGCCATTTTGTGTCCTACTGTACTGCTTCGCTTGGTGTGAATATATTTGTAGACTGTGATCTGACGGTACGGTAAACCGTACTGTACTGCAAACAGACGTGTCCATATATTTGGGCGTAGCTCTCTTGTTTTAAATGTAATTGTTATTTGATATTTTTTGCACGGAGTAATTGTAATGTAATTGAAAAATTCAGGGGAGTAATTGTAATGGTAAGTGTAATTGAATTGAATTACTGTAATTGATCCAACTCTGGTTTGTACCAGGTTAGGGTTATCAGTTTGTGCGTCATCTTGGTGCACATACTTCTGAAGCGCCGAATTTTCACCGGACATCAGTAGCAGCAAGATATTGTTCGTAGCGTGGAGTTCCTGAACATCAACAGCCTATAAAGGTAAGTAAAATCACAAATCAAATCGAGCACCATAGAGACATAGGGAACAATTGGAAATTAAAAATATAATAACCTTCAGCGACATATGTCATTTTTAAGGACTGATAATTTGAAATCGATCGGGCCATTGGTTGCGGTTAAAAGCGCAACAACAACAACGAGATTCTTCACAAATAAGATTTATCAAATCTATCAATATATATACTCGTACACTCTGTGTCCAGTAATTTGTACAAATTAATAAATTTCAAAGCTAATCATTTTCAGAATAGAATACACTACTAGAGCAATGCTCAAACATTTGGATACGAAGGTGGCACATCGGTATTGTTACGATAAGTCCTAACAACAAAGTCTTTTGGAAATATAGGCGTCACAGAAAGCGTGTTTTCGTATTTCATAAAAAGTGTTTTAACGATTGGTCCAATAGTTTCAGAGCAATTTTTCCAAATTTTCCTAAAACAGACGCATGAACTATCGGTCCTAAAGGTTGGATTGTGTCGGATATCGCATTTAGGCAATCCACCAGTTTAGTCTCCATATCTAAGCAAAAGTTGAAATGAAAATCACACGGCCACAATGGCATTGAATTCTCGTCTACCTCAATATGCCCGTGATAAATGACACATAGCTTCAAAACCAACTCCGGAACAAACATGAATATATATATATACATAATAAAGACATGAAACTTTGTCTGAAAACACAAACATTCCTGGAAGAAAATGAATGCGGGTGTAAATGTCCGTGGGTGCGGATTTCCATGGGTGCACATATCCAGGCTGACTGTGGGTGCAACTGTTCATTGGTGAAAACATTGCCATATTTACCGTTATTTTTGAATGATACCAGAATGTCAAAAGTCAGCAAAAATTGCCAGAGATAAGAATATATTTATAATTCTCAATGATCCATATCAAAACGCCGACGATTCCGAAAAGCATTATTCTCTTTCTACTGAGTAGAGTTATGCTTAGATGACCGTGTAAAAACAAGTATATTGGCATTATTGAGCACGAGTGAGTGTAGGTTGCATCAATTCAACAGGCGGCCTTTTCGGTCAAAATTTAGTCCAATTCGGTAAAATCATCTCAGGGAATACTGCACATTTAACAGTATATATTTATATATATCTCACATCAGTGACGCATTTTGACATTTGTTTCGAATGCGGAAAATATATCGTAATAGTGATGAATTTACTTATTTGCGTTTACAATACCTTATCATATTAATGTGACAACTTCCGAAACTGATTCTAAACTCAACTATTCCTACGCTGGATGGTCGTGAATTAAGGAAATTGGCTATGAACTATATTCATTCATATTTAAATTCAGCGACATTGCTTATTCATACCGGAAAAGCAAGCTCATTGTTCAAGCAGGTTTTAATTCCTCGGTTAATCAGTCAGTAGTCAATCAGGTTATATAGTTTTAAGCGAACGCGCGACCAAATGAGACTTTAAAGGACAGGAAAAATTGATCCACTAAACCGATGGATATAGTCTTCTAAATATTTAGAGAACGTTGGAGTTGAACGTGGAGCATATTTTTTAAATCAGATTTGTGTATCGTATGTGCAATAGATGCTATGCTTTCTTCAATGCGATGAGTGGATGACGCATTTTTGTTTTCCGCATTAGAAAGCTGTCAGCGCAGGAACATCAAACGAACGCTAGACCAAAGAAACTACCGTATGGACCAGGCTGCGCTGCAGGAATACATTCTAACACGTAAAGAATGAGGTTAACTAAAGCAGCTCTGATAACTTCAACGTGCCTTCTAATTTTGTTTATGTATATTACAAATGTATTCAAAACTGATGAATGGAAAAAGGATGTTAAAGTGAGGGGCAATATTCAAAAGAATCTTGAGGTAAAAATTAACTTTTGTTTAACTTTAGAGCAGTCATTCGAAACTAAGATGATTTCAAAAAAGATATCTGACAACCTCTGAAAGCATCAAGCTAATTTTCTTGAGCTTCAGTGGTTGCCTCAGCTGCATGTCTTAGTGCTGATATCTAAAGAATAATAAATACGAGCAAAAGTGAATTAAGAATTCGTGCGTTCCAGAGGCTGTGGTTAACAATTTATCTCAATTAGAGGCAATAACTGCACAATGGAATTACATATAATGCGGTCCTATTTGTTGGTAATATAGAACAGGCCTGTCGGTCTCATTTGATCAATATGAGAACATCGTGTGGTTTGTTAGAGAGTCATTTAATTGCGGTTAATCACAAGGGATTTCATTTCGCCTTACTTATATATATAAATGAGGTAAAGAGTAAAGACGAACGGTAAAATATGTTAGAACCGTGCAGTTATCCCTCCCGCTTCAGACACAACAGAGCATGAATTATTCATGGAGCATGTTATCGCAGCTATAGTATTATTAGGCCACCTGGGACTAAAATAAAGGCGAACTTATGGTAACGGTTCCATTACATTTGAACCCACGTACATTTGAACCCATGACAATTGCACCTGTATGCTATTGCACCTATGGAATTTTTTTTTGTTTCACGGATAGTTAAACCCATACTAACCCTAACCCATGGGTTTTAGCACCCGCATATAGATTGAACCCGAGGATATACGCATGGGTTCAAATGTACGTGGGTTCAAATGTACGGTCACCTATGGTAACATATATAACGAAAAAGGTCATAATTCTTTCACCAAATTTTCTGAAATATTAATTTTTGTAAATTTATTTCAGAAACAAAAGCAACTTCAAAAACGTTTACCTCAGGTTAGATCATTCTATGACTTGCAGTCTTTGATAAAAAAAATAAAAACCATAGGCCTCCTGAGCAAATATGTTCAGGTTAACTGCAAAAACAAAGCATATATTATCAGAATGTGGAAAATATATCAGTGGCCCCTGCCAATCCACTGCATGTCAAATCGGCCGATGATTGAAGTCAGGTGTGTACGGAGATAAAACACAGTTTACATTAGCCAAAACAATCTTACATATTTTGCATAAATAACATGGTGTTAAGTACCCGTAAATATCCGGTTTTTCAGCAGAAACAATATAAATAATTAAAATTTCGACATTACTGTATTAGTAATATAGCCGATACATTGGATATGATGTAAACTTGCACAATATATATATATGAAAAGTTCTTCTACTCTAGGTAATTGGAATTGGAGTAAAAAAGTGCGGAACTGGAGCTCTCAGATCATTTCTTCGACATCATCCAAGCATAAAATTACCAAAGATGATCGAACCACATTTTTTCGACAATAATTCCGCTTTCAACAAAGGCCGAGAGTTCTACAGGTATGGTCAAAGATTATCGATTGTGCATATACGGCGTCAAAGACGTAATAAAATGTACTGTTTCCCTCTCATATTACCCGTGATTGTGGGACATGCAAAATAGATGATATTCAGTAATACTTTAACCCTACAGATCGATGATGCCCATTACCAACGAAAACGAAACCACTATGGAAATAACACCAAAATATTACGTCACAGAATGGGTTCCTGGTAGAATCCGGAAATTATACGAAGAAAATTATAAGACTCTGAAATTTATAGTTATATTATGCAATCCAATTGACAGACTTTATTCGGAATACGTACATACGAAAGCAGCGAGTCAAGTCGCAAGCCAAAAATACTATCTTGAATCGCAGGTAAGAATAACTGTTGAATCGAATTGTCAAGTCTTCTATGACGACGGGTATAGATGTTGGGACTAGCATATATATTCAAAATATGTTCCAATTTTGATATTGTTTAATGAACTTAATTGGACAAAATGTTAGAATAGACGATATCTATCTGATTGTTGAATGTGCAAAGCGAGCAAGTTTGTGGTCTGCTCAAAACAAGAAGATAACATTTATCAAAATTGTCGTATGTAGGTTAGTCGTAAAGAATTACTTGATATATAATGGTAGTTTCGCCCCATGAACAACGTATAGATGTTGGTACTAGCATATATATTCAAAATATTTTCCAATTTTGATATTGTTTAATGAACTTAATTGGACAAAATGAGCAAATGACAAAGCGAGCAAGTTTGTGGTCTGCTCAAAACAAGAAGATGACATTTATCAAAATTGTCGTATGTAGGTTAGTCGTAAAGAATTACTTGATATAGATTGGTAGTTTCGCCCCATGAACAACGCAGGCGTTGTGTTCTGGACCAGTGGTTTTTAAGTTCATTTGAATCAAGGTACACTTATTCCGTTATTAATTTTTAGTGGTAAATTAAATGAAATTTTCAGATATTTCGGAACTAAACTATCCAGTAAACTAATGCATGGGTAGGCTACACTAACCAAGCTGTGCATTCAAATGTAAAAACGAAAAGAGCAATAGCTTGTCGGCTTCAGGTGAAAATGACCTAGTCCTAACACGCTCATATAAGACTAAAAAGTGTTTCAAATTTGAGACCATAAATCACTGAAATACCAATGCGATATCTATCCATCTCTACAAGAGTATTTAATACAAGAGAGCGATGCTCAAATATATGGACAGGAAGTCCAAAACGCCGTGGTATGTGTATGCAATCTGTCACAATAGACTGGCGGTACCAGCCGTCACGATGTCATCAAAAAACGTGTTCCCATAATTTAAAATTATACAGCGCATTTTAGATGAAATATCAGATCTCGCAGAAAATTCAGGAATAAATTGAAGTAGCCTAATGGCCTTCTAGCGAAAAGTAAATCTTTACCCACTAAAAAGTAATTCCGACCAGGATTTATAGAGAAAAGCGATTTTCTCGTGTTCGATAAAAAGAAAAATTCTAATAACAACATGATAAGAAAGCGATCCATTTCATGTCCAATAACGGGCGGTATGTGATGGTAATTCAATTTCATTATTTAAATCAAGGGTTCTCAACCTGGGGTTCGCGAATTCACAAATCGTTAGTCAAAGTATAACAACTTTGTTTGGTGTCTGATTATCGGGTGTTCGCGTTGATGGTTTCATGGCTCGGGGAGTACTTGACAGAAAAAAGTGTGAGAACCCCTGATTTAAATCATAGGGCCTCAAAACGAGATCCTGAGATTTCAGAGTGGACTCTCATTATCACGCAACAGACTTATATATTTATATGTGCGTATTAATTTTGCTTTCGAAATTTTTATCATGAAATGACCATATGAATTTAGTTGGATATTTAATATTGGCCAAATCACGACTATAGTGAATGTCAAGGTGGATAAACGCTAATTTTGTATTCAATTTTTCATGACACTTTCCTGTCATTTACTTTTTTAAACGGTATCTTTCAGTAAATGCGTTGTAATCAGATTTTCGTGTTTTCAGATTGGAAAGTACGAATCGGTGTCCCATCTTGCAGAAAATCTTCTTCATAAAGTCTCGTCAAAGTTGAGAGAAATCGGAGATATCACAGGCCCTCAAAAAAACCCAACTTTCGAAAAGTTTATTCACGATAATTACGAAGTATCATTTATAACCAACGGGATATACGCATTCCACATGCAAAGATGGTTGAGATACTTTTCTTCTGACCAAATTTTAGTTGTAAATGGGGAGGACTTGATAAAAGAGCCTTGGACGGTCATGAAACATATTCAAACTTTTCTGGGAATCGAAAGATTACTGACGAAAGAATCATTCAAATTCGATGCAAAGAAAGGCTTCTATTGCATTGGTCGTTGCCTTGGCCGAGGCAAAGGTAGGACGCGTTCACTTACTGATAAAGTGAAGACTTCTGACGCGCAGATGACTCCTAAAATTCGAAATGCTTTAGAAGACTTTTATTTACCTTTTAACAAAAGACTTAAACTCCTTAATATAACTTTGGAATGGTAAATTACTCGCGACGTGTATCCCGCAAGTACCTGCCAGGGCGCTGACCGGTGAACCATTCACTATGCAAAATATAGATCTTATAATTTCCTAGACCTGTAAATGTATCAAGAGAACCTACTATTATGAATGAGGTTTCTTTTCAATGACCAGAATCAGAAGCGACTCTACGGGGATTGTAATCAGCTCAAACCCTAAAATATAAGTTCGAAACTTATCAAAGGAAAGAACTCACATTTAGTAGTAGATGTCTGATATATTTCACAACACTGACCATCCTGCGGATAGTCCGTAGCCACTCTAACAAGATCAACAGTCTCACATTTTCGAAACAATCAACATCTGTCAGCCAGATGAATAGTCGAGATTTTGTTCATTCAACCATTATTCTGATTACTGTTAGAATTATATATGCATACCTAACCGCATTTCGGTGCAAGAAAGGAGACTATCGGAAACAGTAACATCTGTCCTGTTACCAGTTCAAAAAGCTATTCACCTCTGTGTCCACCCGGAATAGATTGATGGAACAATTCAAATTGTATGCCAGTACAAAACAAAAACTGTGATTTGGGGCTTTCATAACATATAACAAGAAATTACGGTCAACTTGCACTATTGCAACGTATTGTTTTTATTGGATTGAAAAATATCAAACTGCGGAAATCTGTTAACCATCTGCTATACTTATTTCCCTTCCGCATTTGCTTACTCTGAATGCTCGTTTTTGAAAACGGAAGTACGAAGTGCATAAACTCTTTAATATGAGAAAGTTCATGAAAGTGGAATTGAATAAAAAAGACAAAAAATAGTTGGAAGTTATTTTTCATCGTTCATGAAGTATTTCCGAAAATTCGATGCTTGTTTTGTCACAGTGCCTGGCAATTGAGCGGCAGCATTAATACTATAAGACACGCCATTATTCCACGATCTCAAGAATGAATCTGTTGTCGGCAGGCCAATCTTAAATTAAATCATATATAAATAAATATTGTCATTCATAATGAGAGAGTCATAGTCATATGGCAACATCGCGGCGCAATGGAATAGGGAGCGAGACTAGGAGTCGAATTTTGAATTTCAGGCAGTTGGAATTAGAGACTTTAGGATTGTTTAGAAGGAGATTTACATAATTATTCATTCCGGAGGAGATGAAATCGGATAAGACGGATTAATCACATGGCCAACCACGGCCACTCGCCCAGTTACCAGTTCATGTCAGGTATGGGATTGTTGCCCAGTTATTTGTTTCAGATGCATAGACTTGATGGTGGAGGTAGCCGTAACTGACCAGCGTTTACATGAAATGCGAAACCAAGCAGAGTTGAGGTGGCGATCATATTCCTGAAGCTTAGCACGACGTGCCACACCTCTGAGCCCGCTTCCAAAAGTGATAATCTAAGTCAAAATTTTCGATCGAAACCCAATAAGCATCCAGGTTGAGTCCTATTTAAACGGCTCAACTGTGGAGTTGGGTACAAAGTGTTCCACAGCCCTGATTAATACAGTATACCACCATCATATTGGACCCAATTGCTGGCTCAATGGCCATACTCGCCACCGCACCTCTGACTACCCAGCATGGGTTCGAATCTCATGATGGATAATCATGTGCCAGAGGATTGATGAACTCCTGGCCGCCGTAGGGTGGCTCACGTATCCGCTGGTCGCTCCACCACAGAGTTCATGCATCTGAAACAAATAACTGGCCAACTAATCTCATACCTGATACGGACTGGTGATCAAACGGGAAGCCATGGTTTGCCACATGATCAAGCCGTCTTATTGGCTTTCCTCTTTTTCAAGATAAATATTCAAATTCTGTCTCGTCTAAAGGCTAGCAATTTTTGATAAAAATGTATTATTCTTTTGCAATACTCTTAAATAAAGGGACTGCGAATTATTTCAAGTGTTCTGATCAGTCTTGAACTAATCATTTACTTGATAACAAATATCATGTTTTAACTTGAACTTCAGTTAGTCAATATAAACATGATGATATGAACAGTGATGTAACAACTTTTGTCTTAGTTCCCGAAAGCAAACAAAGAAACCAGTGACTTAGTTTCCTTCACAACGATTTGATAGTAATTGTTTTTATATGCATGCATTTTCATGTCATTGTTGAATTTTGTTTGTCTGAAGAAGTGTTATATTGGTTAGACGCAACGTTACAGGAATACATTGGTGTTAGTGGGCGATTTGAATAATATAACACTTCATATTTGGTAAATTTTATTTCCCCAACAATTTCATGAACTTTTTATTATTTATAACAGACATAATGTATTTTTATTAATTTCCAGTATTTCATCAAAGGCTTTTAAGAATTGAAAAAAATATTACGGTACTTACTTTAGCTAAATATTGTCCACCAAGCTTCTGATCAACAGATTCTGTGAACCCTTTCAAAGCAGCTACATTCTGTGTTGTATCTTTCGACCATATTCCAGATGCCGTTGACAAATAAACTGCTCCTCCAAGCAGGCCAACCTTCAATCCTAACCTGATTAAAAAAACATTATACAAATAATAACATCTTTCAAACGAAGACAGGCACAAAAGACAAATAACTGAAAAGACTGGCTAAATCTGTTTTATGGTGCATATGCTCAATCAATCCATCCATCTAATCACCAACAGTTTGAGACATTCAGTGATTGTAAAAAAAATTATAACCTCATCGCATTGCAGACCAATATAAAATTTGAACAGTGGTATGAAGATTGATAGATATGAGCTAAAATTAAAAAAAAACTCCAAAAAAAGTATTAATATATGATTCAGGCATATAATATAATTATATCATATTTAATACAAAATGGGCAGTTATTGACTTATCGTATATTATTACCTTATTGTTGGAACCAGTCTTGAGGTAGTCATCCGTAGTTTGCTTGCAAAAGGATATCAGGGTAAAATTTGCAATTACACAGCTTAATTAGATATCTGTAGAATTAGTTGAAAAATAGAAAAACTTAGAAAAATGACGGCAGTCGGCAATGTATTTGAAAATCAAAAATGGTTTTAATGAGTTTCGAACAGTAAATAAGACAAATTGATAAGAAAAAAATGATAAATTACAGCAAATATTATTGGAATTTTAGCTCATCAAATACGACCCATGTGGGGACCAAAATTTAACAATGTCGACAAAAAAAGAAAAATTATTCCACCACAGTAAAGTTGTGCTTCATATTTGTGGACACTTCTGTGTGAAGTTGTTACAGTACATATGAACTAAATGGAACCTCAAAAAACAATTTTCCAAGGGAAATTGTTGAAAATTTAATTAAAAACCATCAGGAATGACCTACGATACAGGTGTCAATTGTGTTAGAAAATATCAACTTCCAGATTAAAAATTACCTAAATATATTTCCTATTTCCTCAAAAAGATATTTTTTTTTTAAATAGTGTATATTTCTTTACAAGCAGAGGGCAAATGGGATTGTGATAGAGAAGTTACTTGTACAAAATTTGAACAGAGCACAGCACTTGAAAAAATTTTCGTATGTCAGCTTCTGCTGAATTTAAGTATTGATAAAACTTCTAAGCCAGCTTTTCTGGTTTTAATAATTTCTCCTTTGAGTCCCAAACCATCCAGAGTTTTGATAATATCCTGTGGATTGTTTTCTTCAATAACAACAAGAAAGAATAAACCCTTGGGTGAAAGAAGTTCAGGAATAAGTGGAAAAAATTGGTCCATAACCTCTCTGCCATTTGTTCCACCAGCCCATGCAAACGCAATTCCACCATCTGCAATCTCTTTAGTTGGTGTAACAACATACGGAGGATTAAATAAAAGAACATCAACATTATTTTTCAATCTTGGTAGAAGTCCTTCAACAAAATTTGTGGTAACGGTCAACAGTTGTACAGAATTGATTTTTCCGGTTTCTCTCGTACATACGCTTGCAGATGGATTTTTATCGGTACAAAAATAAGAAGCCAAGCTTCCAATAATTTTCGCAATGAAGGTACTCACTATACCTGAACCTGAACCAATTTCAAGCACTATTTTGGGATCAATGGATTGTATCTTGTCAGCTTGATCTTCCAGGGCATCCAAAAACAAAAAAGTATCTTCTGCAGGTTCATAAACATCATCATATTTATAAACATGACTATATAAGGGTGTTGGAATCTTCATTGATCTGTATATTCAAACTAAACTGCTTTGCGTAACAAGAAACTATAAATTAAAAACTACTCATACACGTGTTTCCAGGATACTGAAAAAATAAAAGATTACATATAGGAATTGTTATTGGTATCAAAAGCTTCAAATTTCAAAGGAATATAATAGCACCTATTTTTGAAAAAATGTGAAATTCAAAGTGACCCTTTAGATTGCACATAAACTGAAAGCAATATTGTTAATCTATTTTATAAACAGGGACAGATTTGTTTATCAACCGAATATGAAGTATCGTTGGAGTGAATTACTGAAGCATGGCTCGTGAATGACTTGCCAATACATTAGGCCTACATCTCCGAGCATATTAAATCTAGAGTCAATTGACACATAATATTAGCGAACACATACACTAATGTAGTCTATTTCCTGTCCCAACAATTTTCAGAAAGAATCAATAAACAATGCGGAATCATATTACAGCACCAGATATAACATGAACATTTAGTTTCGTGATGAAATGCTGCACAGTGCACGTTTGCAATTCTATAAAAGGAATAATATTATTATCCTAATTTATAAGAATATACTTTTGCTTCCTGATTTGCAAACGTCTAATTGTTCAGTACAACGAAATAAGTCTAATGCTACAGAATTATCATAATCAATGAGTTCCTCATCCGCTAACGATATAAAATTGTGAGCGGCTATATCATGTTGTATGTATACATTCCATTATTTGGTAAAAAATTCTGCATAATTTCCATTTCATATTTGACACCATCCTTTTCCCAAAACAGCTCAACTTTTGTGCAGCTGTAGCTCAACACAAATCTCTTTTCATTCATTTGCAATGTGGCTAAAACATAACTAGCCATTTACTAAACCATCACAAATTGAGGGGAATCACAGGCCACAATTTAGGCTGAAGTCTGGTTCGGTTTTCATCAAATTCAGCTTGTAATTGCGTCTCAAGAGATTGAATTTGTAGTGTGTTACTTCCATATAATAACTTGAGCTCGTTAGTTCTTGCACTTCCAGCCTGAACATCTGGTGGATCAGAGGAAGGAGTTGGTTTCTCTTCGGGACCTAAAACAAATATAGATATTGATTTACAAACTATGTTGTAGTTAATGACTATTTTCTACTTCTCAGAGTTGAATAATAACTTATACTTGAAATTGGCACATCAAATATATTCCTGATAAAACACAAAACATAAAATCCAATCAAGGACCCCAAACACACATTTTATTTATTTATGTTGGTTCGAAACAAATTTTCAAAAACAGAATCAGTTACTAAAATGATCAAATTTATAGCTGTACATACAATTTCTAGTAGATATAAGCTAAAAAATAATGGTATTCAAAGTAGGCACAAGATAAGTAACAATGCACAAACACATGAAACAATTGGAGCTGAGTTATTTTCTATTCAATCAATATTCATTATGAGCTGCTTCTTTTATAATAAATCAATAACATTATACAAAGCTACAGGAACTGTCAGGACAGAATTTTTCAGAGAACTGCTGCTATTATATAGCTGAATATATTTGAAAATTAGACCGCTAAAACAAGGTGAACATACTATCTATATCAGTAATAGCCTTTGACTTCATAGATTAAAATGTCATGATTTGAATTAGGACAATGATTAAGAACACATGTGAGTGCACCCGAAGTATGTGAACCAAGATGGCTGACACCGAAACGTAATATGTGTACCAGGTTAGGGTTAGGCCATAATTTTATTCCAATTTTCCTTATTTTAGTCCCGTGACTCCCGTAGTATTTGTACCTGAAATTATGGCCTAACCCTAACTTGGTACACATACTATCTTCCGGCGTCTGCTATCTTGGTTCACATACTTCGGTCGTACACACATAATATGATTAATACATAGGACATTATGCACAAACATGCCTTCGTCATCTGCAGCATATTCAATATTTTCATCAATTCCTTGATCTTCTCTCATTTTCTCTGAATAGAAAATAGGCTAATGATTAATTGCTTCAGAAGATAATGCATCTAATTGCAAACACCGATTGGACCACAACATTTTGTCAGTATTGAAAATAAAAAATGGAATAAAATTTGTTCTCCTCATAATAATTATCATCGTATCAAAATTTATGCATTGTGAATATGATTTCCAACAAATTTACATTTTGCTATAAATCAGACTTTAGCCTTGAATTTAATTTGGAAAATATTAGAATCAGGATGTTCAATTTAATGGGAACTTAGTACATATAATTACCTTCCCTGTGGATATTTTAATTCCAAATATTAAAGATGAATTGGGAAAAATAGAGACAGAAGAGAATTGTATTACACCATGGTTATTTACATTGCTTGAAACATAAACTTTGAAAATGACTGCTGAATATCATATATATTATTATACTCACTGAGATCAAGTCGATGCTGCAACGTTATTTGAGAGAATTCTAAAAATTCTGAAGAAACTGGCTCATCCTTAGATAAATCTTCTTCCTCATTTCTTTTACTATTTTGGGCTGAAACATATTTCATGCAGAATTTATAAAGCTATGCACTTTTAAAAAAAGCCATTTAAAACCATTGCGATGACTGATAAACAAATGACACATAAACTGGGAATTTAATAAAGTGAGGAAATATCGAAAGTTATATTTCAAATACTCTTCAGGCCGGTAGCTAATAAGACCAACCTTGAGAAAATGATGAACACTTTTTAGAGTATTTATTTCCTTTCTCTCTCTTTTTTCTTCGCCTTCTTATATGCTTATCATGTCTTTGATCACTATTTTCACCACATTGAACTTCTCTCTGTATTTTAGCATCACATTTAGCCATCACAGGCATCATATATGTGCTATACCAATGTGTTAATTTGTTCCAGTTATCCCAGTAAATTTGAGCTCCTCGACTATTAAACAATTCTCCTATTGCATTGTCATCGGGTGGAAATGCCATGTTTTCACTTTTCGGAAAAAATGCCAAAGCAGTAAATGTAGTCTATGAATAATTTTACAGCTCAGTAGGCTACTAACCTATATTCAAGAAAACAAAACAGTTTTAGCATTAAACTTCTTAATTGAGGACAAGATACACACATTGAAATAAAATAAAACTAGCATATAAGTGAGTGGCTTATAATAAATATTCATAAATCAATATAGTCACTGTATTATTTTCTGAATTTTAGAAATTATGAAAAATAATTTCCAGCTTTTATATAGTAATGGAATCCAATCCCCTTGAATTAATCACAATTGAGCAGGGACATTTGACGATGTGCACAAAAAAAATTTGTGCTTACTGAATACCATTTGCTCAACAAAATACTAAATATCAGACACATTTCCAAAAGCAAATTCATTGATAAAACGAAAAAGTAGTATTTTATACAATTGAAACATTGTTTCAGAATTGTGATAAATAATTTCAGATATACACTACCTAGTGAAGTGTTGTAATATTCTAACACAAAACGAGATATTTAAAACTCTACTGCAATTGTAAAATAAGAATTGCTTCAAACAAACGAAAATAACCGGTGTGCCCGTTATTTATCAAACACATCCAACATGATTCTACAAACGATCAGAGGTGTCTAATAATAAAATGCCACGCAATTGCACAACAAAATGCAACATGTAGTAAAAAGGCTTCGAACAAAAAACATTGGAAATACCGTAATCATAATATGGAGTTATATTCTGGAATTAAAGGATGAATCTTTGATGGTGGTATTACAATAGAATCAACGGACATTCTTGTGGTGATATGCTTACAACATCTTTCAATATTTAACAATTTTATTTACAAGAATCAAATTATTTATTAGTACCGTTAGCACCATATAAACAGAACACAAAGCAAAAAAATACACAACAGTAGATTAAAACAAATGAACATCACAAAGAAAAATGATATCACAATTTTAGTTGACGAGATGCAAATGGACTAATTTATACAAAGTATCAATAATAACACGACTAGATGATATTGTATAAATATCACTGATTCTAAATATAAGAAAAATGATAAAATAGAATTATTCAGTCATGATAGCGATCAATTGATATATTGATTAAATAAATTTACAATAGTCATGGACGTCACTATCGTCCCTAAACTGATATCGCTACAATTAAGATTTAAACGCGTATTGGATGCAAAACAGATGAAGCAAAAAGAGTAGCACTACTGGCCTGAGAGTACATAAGCAACTCAAAACATCTGGTACTTCAATCTCTAAAATAATATTGCTATAAGCCTAGATTAGCCTACTAGTATAGGATCAGTCATATTAGAGTTGTATTTCACCAAATTAAAGAATGACAAATGCTCTTTCGAATGTAAAACAAACAATGACATAATTTAAAATAAAATATTTGAAAGCGATTGTCAATCAATTTTACAGCTGTGAAAATGTTAAAAAACCACAATAGTATGAAACCATTATTATTTCTCTGCCTAAATAATCAAAATTTACCTTATGTAACAAACTCATCGCTTTCAAGATAATTATGACATCAATTTAACCATTTTTTCAATGAAGACATAGGTACAAAGAGCTGACAAAGACGATAAAGACTACCGTACATTGTTTTAAAGATGATAGAAGTGAAAAAAGAGATATATTAAAAAATTGCTTGGCCCAATGTTACTGCATATAAGTTAATTGGACTAGCCCTCAAACGGAAAAATTGCACATGGCAGTATGTACTAAACCAATGATAATATCACAGAGATTTCAACGTCTCTCGAGAAACAAAGAAATATATTCGAATGCAAAAAGGGAATCTTTAGACTTGTCTGCTATAAATGAATTTGGTATTTAAATCTATTTTATTTGAAGAAGAATGTGCTACATTTTGTATATAATCAAAAAGAACAAAACTTAACAAAAAAGTAGTCTTGGTTGAATGTGAGAAGCGAGATGGTTTTAATATGACACAATCTATTCATTAGAAGAAGACAAAAATTAGCAAACTCATTCCAAACAGATGAATGGAATAAATGAGACAGGAGTAAAGTATAGAATGTGGCATATGGATGATATATGTATAATTAATTAGTTGAAGTCACACAGGAAGCCGAGTGACATTGTTAACCTAATTCATATGAATATAATATTCAATCAACAGAATAGAGTTGAAAAAGCAAAAATTATGATAATGACCGAAAATCAGTCATTATATTCATCTGATTTGATTTTATAACATACCAATACCCTCAACAAAGAAGTAAAAAACTCAGTACTGTGCTTACCGCAAAAAAATTATTGTATCAATTTTTGTATGTTTTAATTTTTAATCTCATCGAGGTGTGCAAATGGTCAAATAATAACATGCATTCAAAAGAAAATATTGTTGTAAATAACAATGTGCTTTCCAATTTTTCAGACACAAAATTTATAACTGAAAAAATATTAAATATATTAATAACATTTATGAACATTAACAAGCACGACCATCGTCATTTGCTTTCTCTTCCTCTTTTCTACCAAGAGAATCTGGATTCTGTAGTGGATCCAGCTCTGAAAATAAATTGTACCATGCAGTCTTATTACCTTTACTTGGGTCTCCTTTCATATTTTTTTCCGGCATTCTGGAAGCGGGTGCTGTGGACATATTAGATGTTGCTCCTTGATTCATTTGGCCAGAATTGAACATAGAACCTGTATAATGCGCTGGCTGATTCGACATGAAATTACCAGTATTTGGCATACCATGTATCATCTGCATTTGTGGTTGTGGCTGTTGCTGAAAATACAGTTGTTGTTGATTTGCTGAAACTGCTCCCGGACCAGGTGGTATTCCACCTGGAAACATCATGCCATGAGGTAATCCACTTGGCAGTCCTGTATACTGACCAAATCCCATATCCATGAGCTGGGATGGCAGGAACCCTTTTGCAGTTTCATTTTGATTAGGTTGCTGTGGTTTTTCTCCTGGTTTTATAAGATCAAGCATATCTTTTTCAAGTTGCTCTAAAGTGGGTTCATTTGGTGGTGCAGAAGCTGATTCAAAATCACCGAAAGCAGATTGCCATTGCTTTTCGAATTCACCTTTCTGGTCTTGATCTCCTCCACCGATTAAATCATTCCACAGGTCCATTTCTTCTTTGGACTCTTTTCCGGTCTCATTGAAATCACCAAGCAGTTCAGAAATGCTTGATCCATCATCAGCTTTTTTAGAAGATTCGGCACCTCCAAGATCAAGTGCTTCTAAAGCATCTTCAAAAGGGTTCAAAAGGTCATCATCCACTCCATTTCCTCCTGTATCTTGAGCATTCAAGTTAATCAACAAATCAGCTCCTTTTTCGTCAGCTTTCTCTTCATTCTCGCCAGATTTCGATAATTTTGTTTCATCGCCAGATGAATCCGGAATCTGAATAGGATTTAAATCTTTCAACAGTTTGAATTCATAATGTTGATAGCCATCAAAACTCTCCAGAACACTGCTCATGTTTTTTGCAGTCTTATCCCAGAAACTGATCATCTCATCTTGGTATGGTACTAATGTGTTCGAGAACAAATTGCTCCTCGACGCACAAAGTAAATCAATTTTTTGGCAAACACCCCATTTTAATCGGTCAAATTTTTCTTTATTTATTCTCACTTCGTTTTGTACTTTTCGAAATTTTTCTAATTTCTTGTACTGTTCCGGATCAAGTTTTCCAGATATGTCTTGCATCCACATTAATGATGCTCTGTAATGTGTTCTTTCCTCTTCCATTTTCTTTACAGACATATCAGTATCAGTGATAGCTCTTTGACGAAATGTCTCCACATCTTCGCGAAGTCTGCCCAATGGATGGCGTAAAAGCAATCTTTGTTGCGCAGAAAAGCAAAGTGCTTTTCCAACTGCTGACATCATTTTTCCAGCTTGAGTTTTATCCTGTGATCCCTGATCCTTCAGAAATCTTCCTAGTTGATTTTCATCTCTTGCCAGAGCACAAATGCACGCATGATAAGTTTCTAACTCTTTTAACAACTTGTCACATGTTCCAACAATTGAACCATAAAGAGAAAGTTTTGCGTCTATATCGTTATCACCAGCAACTACATGTCTATCTTCTACTTTACCAAGTTTCTTCTTCAAAACCTGTTTCGCAGTCCAGTATTCACGTTGCATTTTATTAACAGTCGAAAGACTGGGATCCATATAAATATCCATGATGACGATGCAGGTTCACTAAACTTCAGAACTTGCTATTTAGCAAGTTTTAAGACTGAATTTTATATTAGCTTCAAAAAAGCTTCCAAATTAGCCTAATCTGAGAATACAGGAATAGAAGAATGATTAGTCTGTTAGTAGTCACTCCTGTGAAACCCCACTGGACATTAACTACATGAACTATAATATACCGATAGCGATATGCACAATTCAGGGGTCTGGTTTGCTTTCGTACCACAATAACGTTTAGTGGGCGTGGCGCAAATAATTCTTTCATATGTCATTCCTAACCCCCACATAAACACATCATCTAAAAATTACGTCATCACAATGTCACGCCCGCCAAAAGATACAAATGGCTGTCCAAAATGCGCAGCGGATTACCCGAAGTCTAGCAAGCTATTTCTCTCGTCGTAACAATCCCAATATGAAAGAGATTGCTGGCTGCTGCCATTAGTGACTTCATTATCGTCGGCACAGATGCCATTTTGGTCGATCATAGCTATACTTTGGCAAGCTACATGACGTGATTGTGACATCATAGTGGCGTATTTTTCGGATATTGTAGTTAGGTAATATTATATAAAATTGTTTGAGTGACAAAAAGAGTTTGTTTTATTGAACCAAATGTCATATGTCGGGAAATCTTGGAATTAAAGAACTGCCCTAGTCCAGTAGTCCCACGAACGTTGCAGCTGACACAGAATCGGGTACAGTGATATGTTTACCAGCTATCTGACTATACAATAGAAGACAATGCTATAGTTCAGTATTTATCAGTAATCAGTATTTCAGGTATTAATTTTATCACCATAAAGAAAATACAGTAAATGCGAACAATACCTGAATACAGCAATAGAAAAAAAAGACAAGAATATGGCATTATAGCTCAACTAAAATGAGTGCAATATAATTACAATATTGCAACAGAGAAAGAGATAAAACAAAGGAATGTGTTGATTGAATGAATCATTAATTATACAGTTATATGGACGTATTAGGTGACATGTTTGATGTTACCAACGTATGTGCATGGTGAAAAAAGAGGATCATGTTGATTTGTTTGTGTTGGAACTTTGAGTTTGTCTCCACATTCATAAATTGTTAAAACGAAATACTTCAACAAAATAGTAAATAACAAAATACCTACTTTGGGACTACTTTCATGAATCTACTTGTTTTAAGTACCGGTACCGGGTAAGTTAGATGATTCTATTGCAGTGTTATGGATTACCGGGGTACCGGTATATGGAATTTTAACTACATACGATACCTGTACCCATAAGCAGTCAGTGAACATAAATCATCAGATCACCCTGTCACTGGATCAAATATCACAACAAGCGGACATTTAGCTATTATAACAGCTGAACCGTACGGTACCGTGCCGTGCGACAGCAAAATGCGGGTAACATTACGGTACCGGTACCAAGTTCGTAATATGATTCACTGGTCTTATCGGGTTTTCTCTGAATAATCTCATTCTTCAGTTCTACCTGGCTAACCCAAGGCTAAGGGAACATACCGGTACCGTACCTTACCGTATTACAGAAGGTGCACTCACTCGTTCTGAGGCAAAAACCGCAGCAAAAGCTCCACGAAACTCAAAAACTAGCGGTATCCACGTCCTTACGGCTTTCATTTTGTTGCGTATGAATGTTTCCCTGAACATTGATTTTCTTTTTTATTTCCGTAACATAGTCCAATCAGCAATAAGTAAACTCTGACGCAACAATAAATTTATTTATCAAGTGGATCAGACACTTTTTTCGCTCCAACACATATATAAACGCAACAAAATAACAAACAAAAATAACGCAATAAATACATAAAATACCTGATATGACAATCAGATTCACAGTAAGTCTCAAAAAAGAGTTATAATATAGCAATTTAAGAGACCAAAAGTGAGGTATAGAATATAAGATAGCCCGTAACAACAATGACATTAACCCTTTCCGTGCGGTGGGCACGTATACGTACCCACGACGAAACTCGCTAGATTGCGGCGGGTACGTTGATGTACTCCACTGTTTTATTTAGCTATCGGTCGCAAACTGTTGGTCTAGTTTTTCCGGGTTTTAGTTTATTGATAAGAAGTCTTCTTCGAGATTAACATAAGCGACGGTAAATCTTGCTTTCGTTTACCATGGGAATTTTATTTGCGGCGGAATGAGGGAGTGTTTTTGAAATTTATGCAAATTTCGGTGATTTTTGGATGGTAATAGAAGACATATTATCCCTTCCATCTACCAAAGTATTTTGAGTTAGATAACGAAATTGCTACAGCAATATTATGCTATTGTTTGCCAACCAAGAAGCGGTAACAGTAAAGGATTTAGCGAATATTTCTATTTTTTATCACGGTTTGAAGTTTCAACACCCAAGAAAAAAAAATGCCTTTTTTCTATCCGGTTTGTGACTCAGACCACCCCTTTTGAAAAAATTTTTTTTTTCAATCGTCAATTGCAAGCTCTTCAAATAAGCTTTCCAACGAGCCGTCAGCGGGCAGCAGAGGATCATTACTTTTTCGTTAGTTGATCGATTAGTTGTGGGGGTACAAATGCATAAAGTCGGCGTAGCAAATACGATTATTTTATAAAATATAAAAATCGCATGGAAAGGGTTAAACAACATGATAGGCAACTCTGACGTCACTCCATAAGACTACAGGCGAAAGATTGTATTTCATGATACGCTCGAATGCACATATTTCTCGTCGCCTTTCGCGTCCGTTTTCCGCTCGCTTTTGCTACTCGGCGTCTTTTTTACGTGTAGTACCTGCATTTTTGCGCCTGTAACGAAACAAAATAATCTCTATATCTAAGAAGTTTTGCTCACTTGGAAAGCTGGAATGGCGGGCAAGCTGTAAAGAGCAATTCTGGACATCATAGACGTTTTTTTTATCAGAGAAGATTACAAACGCGATAGCGGAAAGATTTGTGTGGAACATTTTGCAGATAATGACAAAGTTCAAAGTTAGTAATTTTAATGTTTGCGCTTAATCATTGAAATTTCATTTAAAGAGGGTGTCATACAAAACTGTGATGTGATACAATTCCATAACACAAAGTTTGCACCTATCGAACTTGCTTTTGTAGGTGAATTTATTAGACATATTACATATTCAGTTAATCGTAGGTAACATTGCTGGTACATAATGCATCGTAGATAGGTTTGTTTAAATTTAGGAATTTAGCTCATAGCCCACTAATTAATATTATCTTCTATGCAGGAGGTTGCAGGGCGGCTGAATTCAACTTGCAGCCTTACCGATCACCTGACGATGCTCATTAAGTTTGGCTCGAGCAAGTCTTCTTGAAATGCTTGTTTGGATGGAAAGTGGAAACTACCTATATTTTTTGCCTTCCTCCGATTTTAGACAAATTTATTCTGAGGGATTTCGCATATAATTCTCATTGATTGTTGGCTGTTTATAATTCCTATTGATTGTGAATTCTGATTATAACAAAGAGTTAAAAATTTTTTTACCTAATTTACTGGCACCTTTTCTTGCCAATACTCCAAGCTGAGGTAATAAACAAGACAATACATTTATGTCATCTGGAGGCAAAATATGCACACTAATTAATAGTTTGGCACATTGAGATAATACATCATGACAGTAAATACAAGTTAAAGATATGTATGACCATTACATGGTAATTAAAATTATAAAAAATTAATAGGGGCTGTGGAGTATGAAAAGTTCAAGACAAAGAAAAGAACAAATGTTCATAGCTCATGAACTCTCAATTTTGCCTCCATTGCTTTGTGAAGGCCAATATATTTCGAGTGGCTGAATTGGTTTACCTTTATGATAGTAACGATTTTGTATTTAATATAGCGAGATTATTTCAATTTAATTGAAGTGATATTATTTCCCAAAGCAATGCTTGAATCGTCTAGAATAGATCAGTGGTGTCAAACTCATGGGTTTTCGAGAGCCGCATTGCATTTTGGAAATTGTAAAAAGGGCCGCAAACAGTTTTTGATAATGTATACTTGAAAGATATTCTTAAGATAGTTTTAGTTTGTGACATATATTGTGATGCAACTAAACAGTTGGATTAAGTTTTATTATTTTCTTCAATTTCAAATGCAATTACATATTAATATTTGCATTCCACTATTATTGCAACATTTGCAAGTTACTGTATTTATTATAAAAAATCATAAAATTCTATGTACAACCATCAAAATCATTTTTGAACAAGCTTTGGATAAGGAAAGAATAATACATACACTAAAAATAACTTAATCTAAATATATGAACTTAAAATTAACAAAAATACTACAGTATAAACTCAACGTTTTAATAATTACATTTGTCCTGACGTTTGGCATCTTTTTTTTGTGTCACCAGCATACTAAGGCCAGGCTGAAATGATTTTATAGTACCAACTCTAACTAACGAGGCCACATGATCATGGGTTAATCTGGATCTTTGCGAATGTTTAATTAATTCCAGTAATGCAAAAAAGTTACTTTTATCATTTCATGTATAGATCAGTAAAAAAACAAATGACAGATTTTTTCGACAAGACATTTCGCACCACATTGCGTGGCATAGGATTGCTTGAATTATTATTGATATTGATTTTAGTAACCAAGTCGTTGTATAATTATATTAATATACAAACACATGGAAATTTTCTGTTCGAAGTTGGTCTTCGAATTTGTCATATTGACCTCTGAGCTTATTGTGTTTTTCATTGTATTGATGGAAATATGACAAATTAAACAATGTGCTTCAAAATTTTGTGGAAAGCAGAAATATTGCAACTCCCATTTTCTTCGAAAATGCCACCTTCTTCATGTACTTTGCGTATAATTTAATCACTCAAGTGTTTTATTCAAGTATTCTTTTGCTAGCTTGATGTGTATTCTTAATTGGGTCAAAATGTGGACAAAAAAAATTAGTATTCCAAAACTACTTTCAGTAAACTGTTTTCTGTGTGGATAATCAATCTCACTTGAAAGGTTTGAAAAATCTATTACATTTAGATAAAAAAAAAAACTTCCAAAATACTATTACAATTATTGTTAAGCGTTCGAGGGCCGCACTGGAAGTTTTCTGGGGCCGCGAGTTTGAGATCCCTGGTCTAGATTGAAGT